GTGTGTGTGTGTGTGTGTGTGTGTATGTGTGTGTGTGTGTGTGTCTGTGCTCATGCGCGTTTGTCACTTGGGAGCCATCTCATTTGCAAACCCTACCTCGATTGTGAAGAATCTCTACTTAGGATACAATGGTTCTTTATGACAATTGTTCCCAGCTTTGGAAACTTCGCTGAATCTCAGAGACCTAAAAGTCTATTTTAACTGTCTATTACATAACTAAAAATGGTTCTATAATTACATCGTGAAGATGATAAAAGAGAAGAGTGTTCATGGCGGGTAGCGGTGTCATAAACTACAATTCTCGGTTGTCCTAACACAGAGGCAGAAGTAAGTCTTTAAAACGGATAATTTCCCGAGACAGACGGACAGGCACAGGACTTACAAATAACGGGACAGATACCAGTAGGAAGAACCAAATAATTGAAAATACTTGCCTTTAAAAATGAAAACTGGAGATTTAAACGGAATTGGGGATAATTTTCTTTTATTGTAAGCGCTTTAGTTAATTTTAACAATGTATTGTTTTGATTGTCATCAAACATTTGGATGATAAATTTTGCCAGTCCCACAATTTAGAATACAGTTAATAAAAAGGAAGAGGAAGGCGCTGGGACTGTACCGGGCGGTGCAGCACTTATTAGCACGAGCGAGGCCCTGGGTTCAATACCCAGTACTCTATCCCTTCCCCTCAGAGAAGGCTGTGGTGGTTTGAACGAACATGGGCCCCAGAGGCCCATAGGGAGTGGCACTGTTAGGAGGGGTGGCGTCCTTGGAGTAGGTGTGGTTTGTTGGAGGAAGTGTGTCACTGAGGTCTCAGATGCTTGGCCAGGCCCATTGTGATATTCTCCTCCTGCCTGTGGATCTAAATGTAGAGCTTTCCGCTACCTCTCCAGTGCCATGTCTGCCTGCACAAGGCCATGCTTCCCACCATGGTGATAACAGACTAAACCTCTGAACCGCAAGGCAGCTCCTTTGTAATAGTTGCTGTGTCTTGGTGTCTCTTCACTGCAACAGAAACCCTAACCAAGGCAAAGGTCTATAAAATAATGATCTCTAACATTTATGGAGTACTTTATGCTAATCACTTGTGGTGAAAAGGACTCTACCCAGCTCCAGCATGGTGAGCACGTGGCTCTGGCAGGCCTGGCCCTTCTCCCCATCCCCTCTGCCTTGCTGAATAAACATTAGGTTACACTCCTAAAGCCAGCCACCAAGGTCTATTCCCTTACTTGGTCACTTCCTGCTCCTAAGGCTGACTACCAAGATCCAGCTATCAAACTATTGAAGTCTAGCAATCAAAAGCCCCCTTCGGCTCATGTATTAACATGCCCATTCAAAACTAAACACCTCATGCTAACACGGGGGATTCCTCTTTCACCTTCACAAACTGCCATTTCCCTATGTGCCATGGCTGTCTCCTCTCTATCCAAAGGCTGTCCTTTGTCCCTCTTGGACAAATATCTCTGTCCCTTCTCCTTTATCTCCTGTCTTTGTCTCTTATTCCCTGCTCTCTGTCCCTCAGGACAGAGAAATCTCCTTTGTGCTGAGGACTTGGCCCCAGGAGCTGATACTTTCCCTTTCATGTGGACTCACATTATCTTCCATCCTTGAGCTCAGAGGCTAAGGATGAGAGGAATCGGTCTCCTCCATTCTGCAGGCTGGAAG